TCCGATTATCTGTTGTTTTAAAATTTTAATTTTAATCAAACTTAATATAAATGTAGATTTGGTAAATAGTTAAATTTAGAAAATTTGGTAATTAAAATAGTTAATTTAGAAGATTTTAATTGATGCTGATAAACGTCTTAAAAGAATGAAATTACCGTTTAAATATGCATAGGGTTTCGCTTTTCAATTTGGGTTGTTTGATAAGTTTCGAGTCTGAATATGAAGATTACTGGTAACATAACATTACTGATCGCAAACTGTTGCAAGGTGTGAAAGCTTTTTAATAAGTGTTCCCATAATGTTCAACCATATGCAACGTTTAGTTTTGTTTTAACAGTCAGTTGTAGTATGCATGTCAGTATATTTTTCAACGATGAAAAAAATCGAATATTCTGTTCCGTGATTAATTACTTGAATCTAAAAGGGAAAACCCCAACGGAAATCAAAATCTAGTTGGATCAAGAGACACGGTAGTGCCTCGCGTCAAGTTCAGTTCTGTTTATGATAACTCTGTTCCTTCATTTTTAATGATAAAAATTTGGATTGCCGAATTTAACCGTGGCCATAGAAGTATGTTTAATGATAAGTACCTAGGTCGCTTAAAAACTGCAACGACTGAGGTCGGAATAGTCGACAAAGTGCATCGAGTCATACTGGATGATCGAAGACTGAAGGTCAGAGGAATAGTAGATGCCGCAGGCATATCTTCTGAATATGTGCTCAAAATATTACATGAAGATTTTGATATGAAAAAGCTAATTACCGCATTTGCTAACGTTGGACCAAATACGCATTCGACACAACATTTCAACGAAGTGTTTGGGCCGGTTTAACCGTTTGAAGCATGATATGCATATAAGTCACACCTTGTCGAACTGAATAAAAAAATATTTCTTTACTTCTTATTTTTCTGATAATACGTACCCTAAGGTTTTGGATATCGTTGATTCCGAAAATAAAGTCGAAATTTCAAAATTCTCAAAACTTGTACTAATGTGGCGGTTTCAATTTTGAAAAAAACATAGATTGCATAACATTTATCGTAACTAAGAATTTCGCTCTGATAATGTCTTCAAATGTGTTTTCCGGGGGGTTTCGAGGCCGCTGATTACGGATCTGAAGTTGAAATTGAGAAACTCAAGATGGCGAACTTAATATGGCGGATCAAATTGTGAAAATTAGATCAATTTGCAAATTGTATATACAATTATCTACACAATCCGATATAGATCAGTCTAATTTTGAGCATTTCGATCCGCCATCTTGAATTTTGAAAAATTATAATTTCCACTTCAGATTCGTATTTGGATTGAAAAACCCTTTGTAGAAGAGTCGGCGAAAATTGCGCGTGAGAAAAAATGTATGCTACAAAGGGTTAAGCGAGATATAAAGGATGTTTTGCGTCGACTGTTTGTGATTGTTGACGAAACATAAACTTACCACTACACACCTAAAAGCAAGAAACGGTCAAAGCAGTGCACTTCAGGCGAACCTGCTCTGAAGAAGGCGAAGATGTTTCATTCAGCCGGAAAAGTTATGACAATTGAAAGAAATCGCAAAAAATGACTGTATTTGAAGAAAAAGATGCTTTCTTTTACCAGGACAACGTACGAGCTCACACATCTGCAATCATCAAGGCCAAATTGCATGAATTACGTTTACGAATTAGGTTCCCCTCTCTCTATCCGCCCGATCTAGCCCTCTGTGACTTTTTTATTTCCGAACATCGGTTAAACTAAATACACAACATTTTCAAAGTTGGTTTATGAATATATTTTTATCTACAGGTGGAGCTTATAATATATACAGGGTGGGGGGTTATAAGTTTACAACCCGAAATGTGAAGGTAGATTAGGTTAAGACAAACATAAAAGTCCTATACCGTTTTGCGAGATTCGCAATAATTATCGAGTTATTAATGACAGAAATCTGAGGAATGGGAGCGCGCCGACATAGATGATTGGAGAAGCGTTGCAGCTACTCAGGCCACAGCGCGGCCCATTCGACCTAGCAACTGTTGGCGGCGTGCGGCGAGACGTAGGTCCGGCGAGATAAAACAACGAATAGCAGTGCGTTGTCTTTCCCCTCGCCGCGCACTGGCAATAGTTGCTGGATAAACTGGGCCACGCTGCGGCCTAAGCAGCTGCAACGCTTCTCCAATCATCTATGCCGGCGCGCTCCCACTCCTCAGATTTCTGTTATTAATAACTCGATAATTATTGCAAATCTCGCAAAACGGTATGGGACTTTTGTTTGTCTTAACCCAATCTACCTTCACACTTCGGGTTGTAAACTTATAACCCCCCACCCTGTATACAGAGTGAGGTAATAACTATTAGGACCTTAAATATCTTCGAATCTATAAGGCCCACAGGAAGATTCGTGTGACCAAAATTATACGGTACGAAGGGGACTATCATATAGCGATAATAATTTTTATCCAGGTGGAGGTGCGTTGGAGATATCAAGGTCATCTTAATTTTTTTAAATGGGTCCGACATGTTTTTTTTCCATAATATAATAGAGGAGCTCGAAACAAATTCAGAACTTACGACACAAGATCATTGAACAAGATTTAAAGTAAAAAAAAGTCGATAAAAATATATTTTTATTATTGAATGAAATTTACGTTTACAGAAGATGTTCGAAGTTATGGCCATCATTATCGATGCAAGACTGGATTCTTCCGATCATTGATTGACTTGCTCTTTTAATAACGTCAAGAGTTATTGATATACAGTCGCGGACATAATAGTATGTGCCCGTTTTTTTGCAACTTTCGGAATGCATCCCGACTCGAGAAAAATGAGTCACTGTTGCGCCTGCGGAGCACGCCTGTGCAGTGACTCACAACGAAAGGCGAGAAATGAAATATACGCGGTGAAACATATTATAATAATACAGACTCAGATGAAATGAATACTCCAGCATTAAGTGGAAATGAGGGAACACAGAACAGACAAGAATCATCCGATGTAAGTCTTATACTCCGGGGGACATCCGAAAAAGGTAGAGATAAAACATGTTTATGTTTTTAAAATAATACGAACTTAATTAAGAGAATTAAGCTGCATTACGATAATTACGATTCTGTTATACATTTATATGTGATTTATTGTTTCAGCAACAGCCATCTTCTATAGCAGAAGCAATGATATTAAATACAGAAGCAGCTGTTATATAACAGCTGCTTATTATTATAATATGTCCCACCGCGTATATTTCATTTCTCGCCTTTCATTGTGAGTCACTGCGTGCAGTTGGACTTTTTACTCTATTTGATCTGAAGAATATATTGTTATAATAGTGCCCTAGCTTTTGTTAACTTATCGACTTTTGGAAATTTGAAAATCATCAAATTAATAAAAATTAGGATGCTATTGTAACAATATATTCTTGAGACTAAATAGAGTAAAAAAGTCTAGTACCATTTTTTCTTTCGACAATAAGTTAGTGAGATAATTCGTAAATTAAATATTGAAAAAATTACCAAGTTTTCCTTAAATATCTCAAAAAATATTAGGCAATTAAAAAAATGTTTCAGACCAAAGTTGCTCAAATTAATTGATAGAAAAAGCTGATATAATAAAAAATGGGGATTTCCATCCATACTTTTAAGAAAAGTAACGATCAGTAAATATCTCGAAAGTGGCGTTATCTGTAAACTAACTGATATAATTATTGGAAGATATAATTGTTTTATATCTTCCTTAAAACTATGCAACTTTTGTCTGAAATATTTTTCCGTATTTTCCATATTTTTCGAGATATTTGCTTGGGGGATTTAAAATGGGACACCCTGTACTACATGTATCATGACGTGTACTCGTATATCAAGTCATTAAAATCAAAAATTTCAGATTCCCTTGTAAGTGCCGGAATTACAAACTGATTATGATGGATGAACAGAATATTAGAATCTTATTTCGTATGTTATAACGTATAACGGTGATAATACACTGGGTGTTCCCGTTATTTCTTGGCAGATGTTAATAACTAGAGGTGCTGGTACTATTTCCGCCATATAAACACAGCCGTTATTACCAGCCACGTATACGATAGTTTGGCATGGAGCTGTTAATAACTCGGGCACCCCGCGACCCTATAAAATATTATAAATATTACCGTCTGGCGTATTTCCAATCTCAATTGAACCGCTGCCGCGTAGAATCACAATTTCGTCCGACTATATTAATGAGGGTTGTGAATACATCGAGAGAAAAACTTCTTTACCTTTTCAGTGGGTTATTTAAATAGATGTGCCATACGGCGATGAAATTTTCAACGTTTTCCACTAGTCAGATATGTGACAAGTGGTAGAAGAGCGTTGAATTATAGAGATTCGATCCATAATCTTGCGAATACTTCGAAAATTCGAAGAATCCTATATCCAATGTCCTTTTGGTAGTAACTCTAAGAGCAAATTGCTTCCTCACGAGATGCATGAAAGAGTCGTAAAGCGGAAAACGTCGAATCAAATGGGCCGGAGGTAGTAAATGAATGCTCGCTATCAGCTTTGTCTCTTAGAATCAATGGAAAAAGACGCGCGAATTTTGTTTTAAGAGACTCAAACCGACTCGAAACTTGACAAGTGTGTCAGCAAATGAAAGGAACTGGGACTAGACATTAATAATAATTCTACTCGCGAATGCACGGCTTAAAACAGACACAACTGTTCCTCCGAGCACACCTCCTCTCTCACTTTAATCACGTCTCATTCTCTCGGTCGCGCACATCTTATCGCGTTTCTATATATATATATATATATATATATACGTATATATTTCCCACACTTCCTTCCTTTCATATTTTCGAACACAAGTCGATTTATAGAGAGTACCCTTACAACGAGGGGTGAGCAGTGAGCTGTGGTTGTGTGGTGCTGTGTGGTGGTAGCGGTGCCGGTGATGTTCGAGGTGCTCTGGATGGTTAGGGTCTTTTGGGTACGAGGTCAGGGGTGTAGTCGTCTTGACGGGTGTGGAGTGGGGACCTCAGTGTACCTTGGACCGGGGGCAGAAGCCGCTTGTCGTAACGCTTCGACAGCAGCAGGTCGTCCAGGATCTCCTTGTCCGACTTGCCTTCCTCGAAACTGCAACACAATGCACTGTAGGTGCATTCGGAAGCAACTTGGCAAGTTTACGTCATTGCGACGGTGCGTTCTCCGCTCGAGCTTCTTGCAAGTGGCCTTCTGGCTGTCTGGGTACCTCGAAGGTCATTCCACTCGATCACGGCGACGAAGAATGATATCGAAATATAATCGATAAATTTTGATCAATTAACGAACTCGCTGAAATTCTATAATAAACTCACGCGAAATTGGTACGATTAATCTTCCGACACAGCGCGACATTTCATCGAATGAAAAGACTCTACCGATCATCACCAGCAGACTTATCGACCTTCGAAGTGATCGAGCGTAACGATTATCAAAGTTGCGTTTAACGTTCTAAGTGTAAAACGTATGTCGCGTTTTTGCGACTGAAATGTACTTGTATAAAGATCTACTGGCTCGATAGAAATAGACGCAACAATCTAATACAATGTACGAGACAGCATCTAGCTCTGAACTTTATCGCGTTGCTATATAAGACGCTACCAGAGTCACAACTGCTCTTTTGCTTCGATCGTTATGAAATCACAATCGCTAACTCTCATATTAATCTACTTGCGCTAAGACATTCGATGCATAACGGTATCGATACGATAGAAAAGGAAGAAACTTTTAAGAGTATTTCTAATATAAACACCGCATCCAACTTCTTCCATCGTTCGGTACGGATCGCAATATTAAAACAAAGTAATAATATCGTTCCATTCTCGATCCAAAATATTCTAGATTATATGAGCCGCATGCAAACATCGTGATTTCCATCTCGGTCTTTTCGACCAAGTTCAGTTATTTTGATAAATAACTGAACGAATTTCTCGAGTAATCAATTATACACATATTTACAAGAGCACTTTAGAGTAAGGAAAGAAGAAGTATGCTTGGGACGATCATTGGTACGGTACGTAGTTCAGCATCGACCGTAACGGTTGCAACTGTTAGCTGCAATTGAAGAACTCGAATCGATATTACACTAAGTTAAACCAAGTGGAGCAATTTTTACGACAGAAAAGGCAGAAGTTGAAGGTAATATATTATTTATAGACTACCTGTAGAAGAAACAATCAATTATTTTTATTTTTGCTGATTTTTTTCTAAAGCGTTATCAGAGCTCTCATTGACTCTCCCATGCGCCGTTCATTACGTTAAAATAGTTGAACCACTGATGAAGCAAAAAGTATAACATTTAATTGAATATATATTAATCGTTGCCAATAATACCGCCTTCCTTACTCTCTAAAGAGCGAGACATAAATATGCTACGATCGATACAATCGGACCTAGCTTCTCGACTCGTCGTCTTTTATCACATTCGCCCTTCCTGATGATACTTCCATTTTTAATCTTGGCCGCGTCTCAAAGGTTATTAATATTTTCGGTAACATCGATTCGGCAACAAAGGAATCAAGTTGCAGAAGTTGGACGACCGAGAAGCTAAGAGACGATTCGTACGGAGCAATTATCTTCTTATGCAATACGTACATGTCCTCGGCACGCGCGAGGGTGACAAGAGTAAAGGCAAGCGTGAGGATACAAAGGGAGGTGAAGATGAGGGAGCTTGCGAGGGAAGTGAGTGAAAGCGAGAGGATGGACGAGAGGCGGCCGCCACCACCCGCACACCGCCCTAGCGCCACCCAACCCATTCTATGTCATCTGAAACATAAAAGTAGCATCATGATGTTAAATAGACGTCCGATAACATACACACATACACTTACATGCATACACGTACAAGTGGCTTTAAGTTTCCTTAACATGTTTGCTACCAGCATCATATACGTATAACACATTGATCTCTCATCAAAGAATCAATCACCAAAGTATCATACACAACACACATACACACACACATATAAAGTGATACCGAAAAAGGTGACCAAACTTCGGTACTGTATTCTACTCTTCCTAAGGATGAAAAAAGTCGTATAAACATAGGTCCGGAACTCTTCTTTTCCGAGATATAAACACTTTTTTGTTTATGATTGAGTATTGTAGCAATGTTTAAAGCTTACTTAAAGAAATTGCTGGAAATGATATCCTTCTGCAAAAATGCATACTTCACATCGATGTTGCAGATATTGTCAAAGACGTTCAAAAATTCTTGGTGTATTCCGAATTTTTTCACATGAGGCAATAATCCGATCTTTTAGTGTTTCCAGACTATCAATAGTATTACCATAGACTAAACTTTTAAGGTGTCCCCACAAATAAAAAAAGAAGTTAAGGCAGGGGAGCGTGCAAACCAGACGATTGGTCTTCTTCTGCCAATCCATCGATTAGTGTAATTGTTATTAAGATATTCTCTAGCAATTTGACTAAAATGGGCCAGAACTCCATTATGTAAATCACATTCGAGTGCGTGTTACCAATGTTACATCTTGTTATAGTGTAGAAAGTTCAGTTTCCAAAAATTGTATATAATTTCTACCATTGAGTGTAAATGGAAGAAAAACTGTCCAACAACCAACTCTTCAATCATTTCATCCCACACGTTGCATGAAAACTCGTGTTAGTGTTGAAATTGATTAACAGCATGTATGTTAACTAAGTTACAAACATTCCTACAATATTTACAAGGAAACCGTCGGAACTGTCCCTCACCGATTTTGATGGGCTTTGGATATGTTGTAGAGCAACAAAAACTATTAGATACGTATTTTTTTATCGGCGTATCTCAAGGTTTAGGGAGTGAAACCTCCTAAAAAAAAACTAACATTTTCATTTTCTGCGAATATCTTCTAAAGTACAAGGTATATGAAAAAATGTTTCCTACAAAAGTTTTGCAGTACTTTATACTGTTTACAACGATATATTCAGATTTTTCAAAAGTGTCAAAATTTTCAACCTTCTCCCCCCATCTTTTTAAATCTGCAAAATTAAAAAAATTCATGAGGAAAAAAATTAAAAAGCATTTGATGCCGAATCCATTCATATATAATAATACAATATGGTCATGATTAATTTTTAGAAAAACGAGATGATATCGTGCTATAAGCGCCACGCTGTATTATAGATAGGTATTGTGTTATTTCTTTTCAGTTACCCTGTACTTAATAACTGTTTCTTATGTATATTTCCTCAATATGCATGAGAATAATTAATCTTAATGACACAATATTCAACTTATTACATAAAATAAAGATGTTAGATAGATGAACGTGCATATATAGGGTGGACCATTTAAGTTGATAATGCGAAATATCCCAAAAACGAAGCATTGAAGAAAGAAATGTTTTAAATAAAAGTTGTATGGTTTAAAAAAGGATGTATAACGGTGCCTTTAGTTTGACCTCGAAACATGTATTTAAGGACAGATGAAGGTCAACTTAATTTTTTAAAATTGGAAGTCCAATTTTTTATTATATCTTCTTTTTTTTACCAATTATTTTGAACAATTTTTGTATGGAACGTTTTCTTTCTTGTTTAATATTTTTTGAAATATTTTAAGAAAACTTGGTACTTTTTCTTTTTTTATTATTATTATTTGTCGGAAGAAAAAGTGGTACTAGACTTTTTACTTTTGGTCTCGAGAATATATTGTTAGAATTTTTGTAACAATATATGCATTTTGTTAATTTGATGATTTTGAAATTTCCAAAGATTGATAAGTTAACAAAAGTTAAAGCACTATTATAATAATATATTCTTGAGACTAAATAGAATAAAAAAGTCTAGTGCCATTTTTTCTTTCGATAAATAGTTAGCGAGATGTCATAAGTTAAATATTGAAAAAGTTACCAAGTTTTCCTTAAATATTTCAAAAAATATTAGTCAAGTAAGAAAACATTCCATACAAAAATTGTTCAAAATAATTGGTAAAAAAAGAAGATATAATAAAAAATTGAGCTTTCTATTTAAAAAAATTAAGATGACCTTTATCTGACCTTAAATACACATTTCGAGGTCAAACTAAAGACACCGTTATACGTCCCTTTTTAAACAATACAACTTTTATTTGAAACATTTCTTTCTCCAACGCTTCATTTCTGGGATATTTCGCATTATCAACTTAAATGCCACCCTGTATATGCACGCTCATCTATCTAACATCTTTATTTTATGTAATAACTTGAATATTGTGTCATTAAGATTAATTCTCTTGCATATTGTGGTATGAGAAAATATGCATAAAAGACAATTATTAAGTATAGGGCAACTGAAAAGAAATAACACAATACCTACAGCGTGGCGCTTATAGCACGATATCATCTCATTGTTCTAAGAATTATTCATGACCATATTGTATTATTATATATAGATGGGTTCGGCATCAAATGCTCTTTAATTTTTGTCCTTATAAAATTTTTTAATTTTGCGAAATTAAAGAGATGGGGGAGAAAAGTTGAAAATGTTGATACTTCTGAAAAATCTGAATATACCGTTGCAAACAGTATAAAGTACTGTAAAACTTTTGTAGGAAACATTTTTTCATATACCTCATACTTTAGAATATATTCGCATAAAAGAAAAATGTCAGTTTTCTTCGGGGGGTTGTTTCACCCCCTAAACCTTGAGATACGCCGATAAAAAAAATACGTATCTAATAGTTTTGTTGCTTTACAACATATCCAAAGCCCATTGAAATCGGTGAGGGGCAGTTCCGACCTTAGTCCTAGGTTTCCTTGTTAGTACATAACAGTAAGTTCTCTTTATAATAATGCTCGGAAAAATTTCGTTTTATTTTTATACATTTTTCTATTCTTTATTTCAAGTCTTTTTAAAAAACACACAATTAAAATATATATTTTCTTATATTTTATATTTATATTTATGTTTATTTGATGTAATTTATATTTATATAATGTAATTTTTGTACAAGTTTGACGAATATTATTATTTGTCTTACTGATTTTTGAAAATTTCAAAATCATTAAATTAACAAAAATCAGGGCACTATTTATAACAATATATTCTTGACTAAACTAAGCAAGAAAGTCTAGTACCACTTTTCTTCCGACAAATAGTTAGACCTCTTTGAAGTAGGCAGGACCAAATCGACAGAATCGAAACGCACCTATTAAACTTTTTAGTACTTATTTTGTGCTAATTTGTGCTACTAATAAAAATTTTGTACCTCGTGCTGTTTTGAAAAAAATCGTGGCGCTGCTATCTTCATATGAAGCCAGCAGGACCACAACAAAAAATAATTAAAAATTAAAAACAAGTACATAAATAGAAAAAGCATAATTTGTGCTAATTTGTGCCATCAGAAAGAAGTTCATATTTGCATTCAGTTTCAGAAAAACAACACTTATTAAATTAAAACCCAGAAATCAATTTGAAACGTCAGTATCCGCTCTTATGAATAGACTCGAACCGCAACTCTTGCAACAGATACCGCTTATTTTGTGCTACTAAAATATGTAATTGGAGATTTTGTGCCCGCGGCATTTTTACAAAAAATCATTCAAGAACCAGCTTACACTCAAAAGTAAAGCGCCACTTGTGGTCAGCAGAATCCAGCCGCGACTTTTGCAAAAGATACCGCTTATTTTATGCTACTAAAATATGTAACTGCAGATTTTGTACCCGCAGCATTCCTATAAAAACCATTCAAGGATCATCTTACGCTCAAGAGTAAAGTGCTATTTGTTATCAGCAGAATCCAGCCGCGACTTTTGCAAAAGATACCGCGTATTTTGTGCTACTAAAATATGTAGCTGCAGATTTTATACCCGCGGCATTCCTACAAAAACTATTCAAGGACCATCTTACGCTCAAGAGTAAAGTGCCATTTGTTATCAGCAGAATCCGGCCGCGACTTTTGCAAAAGATACCGCTTATTTTGTGCTACTAAAATATGTAATTGCAGATTTTGTACCCGCGGCATTCCTACAAAAAGCATCCAAGAACCAGCTCACGCTCAAGAGTAAAGTGCCATTCTAGCCGCGTCTAGCGGCGTCTAGCTCTCTCTCTCTCTCTCATTTCGTCAGAAAATGGGTTCATTCAACCAAACATATTTTCCGTGTAGACTTGAATAAAACGATAGGACACGATGAGTCTCTACGCGAATTCTATCATATTCTAACAATTAAATATTCTCCTAACGATAGAATACAATAGAGTACGATGAAAAGTATTCATCGTACTCTATCTTTACGCGATATCATTTCTTTCGGATCCGATGCAGCAAAACGATAGATTGCGATAGAAAACGATGAGAATCTCTGTAGATCTCATCGCTCTCTATCGCTTTCTCCTTTTCGATGTTTTCCTTGATCAAAGAACTTTTGAATCTTGAACTTTACAATTCAATATGAGCTATCTGTGGTACCTCATAAAATAATCTCATAATTGTAATCGCGAATATTCAGCGGCCATATCGGCGCGAGCTTAGACGCGGTGCGGCGGGATGTAGGAACGGCGAGATAAGGACATAAACATTGGCGCGTCGTCCTTCCTCTCGTCGCGCGCCGGCAACAGTTCCGTTGTCGACTGGGCAGTGCTCTTTAGCCTGAGCGGCTAGATGCTCCTCCCATAACGTCTCGACGTGCATTCATTCCTCAGATTTCTGTCATTAATAACTCAATAATTATTGCGAATCTCACAAAACGATATGGGACTTTTATATTTGTCTTAACCCGCTCTATGTCTCCACGAGCTCTGCCAGATTAGTTATAAGACACCCTATATACAGAGCAATGTCTTATGAC